AATCGCCGAAGAAGGAGGATGAGAGGCGGGGGAGGATGAGAGGACGATGGAGGAAGGGAAAGTGCCCTACCCTTTCCTGTTTTGATTTAATTTTCAGGGGGTCGGGTCTCGGGTTTGGGTTGGGTCAATTAATTGGGTTGGGTTGCGAGTTGGGCAAGAAGAGCTGACATGGCGGGTAAATGTGACGTGGCGGGTCGGGTCGTCATTTTTTAGTGTTAAAATATGCTGACTGTGATTTTCTGTTAGCCACGTCATCACTTAACGGTCGTAATTAACGGAGCCTAACGGAGGTTAACGGAGAGTGACCGAACTTGAATTGTTCAACTAATTCGAGTGACTATAAATGGAATAAATTAATTTGAGTGGCAAACATAAATTTTTTTAGCAATTCGAGTGACCAAACTTGCAATTAAGCCGTGATTAGTCCTTTTGATGTTTCTGATTTTTTGTTTTGTTTTTTTTTAGTCTGTGTTGGTCTTTTTCTCCCTTCTGTGCTGTCCATGGGAATTGTAGATGCAGATAAATAATTTTCAAGTACAAGATGTAGTCCTTTCTGTTTTATTTCTTTGTTCCATATATGGTAATTTGGCAATGTACTTTGCCCTTTGGTTAGAGTGCTTCTGATGAAATAAAACCTTGCTTTCATAAAATAAAAATAAAAACGAATGAGGTCGAAAGTCCAAAGTGGAACCAAACATAATATACTGGCCGGTAGCAATGTTGCTTGTTTGTACTTTGCGCTCTTATGTTTCATGTTTTGGTATTTGATCTGTCTAATTTGCACTTCTATGGAAGATATGATATATAAATGGCGATGAGGGATTTTATATAAATGGTGAATTTAGTTTGATTAATGAAGGAAAATTTAGTTTAAGTTAGAACGATAAAACAAAATTAAAGCGTGTGTTAGTCGTTCAGAAAAGAAATGGGTTGGGAAGTAGGGATAACAAAAGTATCCATATCCATTTATATTCGTCCGAATCCGACTTAATTGAGTAGGGTAAAACTTAAACCCAAATCCGAATATTGCTAGTAATGGGTGGGCATGATTTTCTAACTATCCAACTCGAACCCTTTCGAATATACATATGTGTATGCATTTTATTTGTAAATAATTTTTTTTTACTCATAATAATATTTGACACTTAAGTAATGTCTAACATACGTATAGTTGTTAACATGTTTATTGAAAGTATATAGAAAAATTACTACTTATCGATAACATGAATACCCAAAATTCGATTTGTTACCATCGTTAGTGTGAAGTGTAACTAGACATTCTCAATGAAAAATATGTGACAGAGAGATGCCTCCTTTCAGTCGTCGTCACTCATTACTGCCCGTCTATATATATGGCAACCATTTGGGAAGCGATCCCAATCAAACTGCTTCCCTTCCCGTAATTTCCACACTAGCCTGCAACTCGATACACGTAGCAACCAAACCCCAAAACCAAACCAAAAAATGGGTTCGATCAACAAACCGCACGCGGTTCTAATCCCGTACCCGGCCCAGGGCCACGTCAACCCGTTCATGCAGCTGGGCAAGCTCCTCCACTCCCGGGGCTTCCACGTCACCTTCGTGAACAACCACTTCAACCACAACCGCCTCCTCCGCTCCAAGGGCGAGCAGTTCCTCAAAGGCTGCCCGGACTTCGTGTTCGAGTCCATGCCCGACGGGCTGCCCGAATCCGACCCGGACGCGACCCAGGACATCGAAGCCCTCTCCGACTCGGCCCGGAAGTACATGATTGGACCACTCGTGGAGCTGCTGGGCCGGGTCAACGGCTCCGGCGGGCACGTGCCGAAGATCACGTGCGTCATCCCCGACGGGTTCATGTGCTTCGGGATGTTGGCCGCCGAGAAGCTTGGGGTCCCCGCGGTGCCGTTTTGGACCGCGTCGGCCTGTGGGTTTATGGCTTATCTCCACATTGGTCAGCTCATCCAGAAGGGACTTATTCCCCACAAGAGTGAGTAGTAGTAGTCTGTGGCGTTGCGTAGCGATGATTTGAGTTTAATGAAATTTAGTGAGGTCCAAATTAGAAATAATTATATATATAATGTTTTATTAAGTGTATTTTCATCAAAATGTCCAGCAAATAATTATTCATCAATTTATCTATTCGGTTGTTTGTGCCAGACATATCGATAGCTAGCTAACAAACTAACACATTATAGACATATCATAAAATAAGTTTAATGATCAAAGAAAATTTTATCTTAGCAAAACTGAAGTGTTGGTTTACATGTTTTTTTAGTTATGACAAGAAGGTTTTATTATATATTTAGTAGAACGAGAAATGTTTTTAATTACGAGTTGAAAAATTGAGGATTTTCATGTTATCTGTTTGATATTGATATGGTGTTATTTGCTTACATATATCATAATGTTGAAGAGAGTTTTATTTCGTAACAATGAGATCCTAAGTTTTTAACTACTCATGCTAAACAAGTACATATAGATAGTTTTTCTTTGGTGCACTCACTTTTTTTGTGCATCCATCTCATAATTGTCATTTTGAATAAGCGATTTATGTCAAAACAATGTCAATCATCACTTTGTGATTTCATGAAAACAAAATGAATTTGCATATGCTTTTATTTGAAAGATTTAGAGATTAGAGACTGAGGGCTAGCTAGGTTTTATAATGTGGGTGAAGGATTAAGTGTTTAAAATCGAAAATTTAGTGATTAGGATAATAAATTGATTAGTTGTGATCTTATATTTTTACCATCGTATCATACTAATTCTATCCATTAAAATAAAGAAAATCAATATACTAAATCTATTTTTAGAGTTGAACTAATATATATAACTCCGTTTATTTTTTCAAGTGGGAGTAGTGGTCCTCTATTCTTTCAACTTTTTTTTGCGACTGTCCATTAATTGCGACCGGTGAGTAGAATTGTGTGAGTGTGTCCCGCGCGGGCAAATGATAGACAGAAAGGGACACGCAATAATTCAACTGACCCTTCTATATGTGGACGTTAATTAAGATAGGTAGCTGAAGCCATAAAAGGCATCTTACTAGCTAGCCGACCCCCAAAAAAAAAGACAAAATTTCAATCGCCTGCGTCAGAAAAATGAGTGTCCCTCCTTTGCTTTGATTGGTGGCAGGTGAAAGCTTCGAGTCGGACGGCAGCCTGGACACACCAGTCGGCTGGATCCCGGGGATGCAGCACGCGCGGCTACGCGACCTCCCCTTCGCCACGCGCACCACCAACCCTGACGCCGTCCTCCTCAACTGCCTCCGGGACGAGGTCCAAGACGACCTCCGCGCCCCGGCCATCATCTTCAACATCTTCGAGGAGTTCGAGCAGGAAATCTTCGACGAGCTCAAGAAGCTCTACCCGCACCAACTCCACCCGATCGGCCCGCTCTCCCTGCTCGAGCGCCACGTGGTGCCCCACGACTCCCCAGTCCGGGCCCACCGCCCCACCCTCTGGAAGGACGACGACAACTGCCTCGACTGGCTCGACGCCCAGCCGGACGGCTCCGTCGTCTACGTCAACTACGGCAGCATCGCCGTCCTGTCGGAGCAGCACTTCCGCGAGTTCGCCTGGGGGCTGGCGGGGAGCAAGCACCGGTTCCTGTGGATCGTGAGGCGCGACGTGGTGAAAGACATGGCCGGCGTGCTGAACAAGGAGTTCCACGACGAGGTGAGTGATTCTGGAAATGAATATATAAGTCTCACTGCGCGCGTGTGACTCAGCTTCAGATTCGATAACCTGATTTTTTTTATTTTTTGGTTAACAGGTGAAGGATAGGGCGATGATTGCGAGCTGGTGCGCGCAGGATAAGGTGCTGGACCACCCGTCGGTGGGCGCGTTCCTGACGCACTGCGGGTGGAACTCGATGGTGGAAGCGGTGTGCGGCGGGAAGCCGATGATCTGCTGCGCGTACTTCGCCGAGCAGCCGACCAACTGCCGGTTCGCGGCGAAGGTGTGGGGGGTCGGGGTGGAGATCGACCCGGACGTGAAGAGGGAGAATATATGCGAGCTGGTGAAAGAGATGATGGAAGGGGAGGAAGGGAAGAGGATGAAGGCCAAGGCGTTGGACTGGAAGAAGAAGGCTGAGGTGGCGACGGCAGTTGGCGGGTCGGCTTACCAGAGCTTCGACAAGGTTTTGGACGTCCTGAACTCGCCCGTGGAGTGATTGACTGATTGTTAACTGCACGTAGTAGGGCTAGCTACCATGTGTTTTTCCTGCTTAAAATTTGTATTATTCTGTTTGCTTTTCCTTATGGGAATCGAGTTAAATGTAATTTCCATTCAGTGCATTTGGGATTAATAAATGAATATTTGGTTTCATTTGTTTCAGCCTAATATGTTTCTAAAATTAGCACTACCATGCTCAAGAATTATGCACCGTTCCTACATGTAAAAACAGAATTATGCACCATCTTGGTGAAAAATGTAAGTAAACATGCATTCTGATTCATTTTGAAAAAAACAAAAAAATAACAATGTATTGTCTAAATATATGTATTGATTAGAGACGCATTTTAGAATTCCAAACACCAAACATGACCTAACTTTCGCTTCAACTATGTATTATTATAGTCCGTGTACTTTTCATTTTTCATATAATTTTTGTATCCAATTTTGTTCAACTTTGGATTTCATTCAACTAACTCGCCCCAAGAAAAATTAATATATCCATTCTAGTTTATACTTGTACCCAAAGGCGGAGCCAAGATTTAGCATTCGAGCCTCGAATTTGTTACTGTATTAAAAAGTTAAAAATTAATTAAAATAAAAATTATTTTATATTTTGATAATTGAAATTTTTAAGATGATTAAAATAACTCAAAAAAATTAGATCTAAACTATAAATTTCTAGCCTAATAGGTTTAATATTAAATTATAATAAATAAATTAATAATGTATTTCAATTTTGTATAACACGCTCTATTTTCACTCAAAATATTATTCGAATTAAAAATTTCTACAATGGTATGCTCAATATAGATTAGAAAAAGGTAAAAACCAGGAAACGAGTACCGAAAACACGGAAGGAAAACTTATGACTAAGCTAAGGTTCCAATTGCAAGATGGCGGCGCTACAGTTGTCTGGCAAGTCGTCGCCGCGGTCCAAACCTCCTAACATAGGAAGTACGAGTCGAACAGTGCTAGGGTCATCATCACCAAACGGGAAGAGTGCAAAAGAGATTAAGCAACTAAAGAAGCGTGTCCGTCCGTTGGACCTGGAGACTGAGACGATGGAAGCTGGGCATGAGAACTCAGCGGAGATGGACACGGTTGGAGAAAAAACTAGGACAAAAACAAAGCCTAATGAGGGAAACTCTCATGGTGCATGGCAACGGGGGAGCACCAAGACTCTTTAGTGACGTGACTTGGGAAGGAGGCTGGTATGTTGCATTGTTGCTTATTCGGGCTCTGTGGACATAGTTCAACAAGAGAGGGAAGATGATGATGTTCTTGATAAAGAAATTTACGATCCCAAGTGCCCTCCGGTGTTATCCACAGCGGCGCCAAAAAAATAAATGGCGTAGGGAAAGACGGTCGTCCCTGATTGTTAAGGGAACTGATTGGGGGAAAAGGTGCATTACCTACCACTTGTGGGAAAATCACGGTGGTCTACAGATTTCCAATCTTAAGAATGGTTGTTTTCTGGTTAAGTTTCGCAGTAAAAAAGACTACGAACATGGTTTAGCTAGAGGGCCATCTACAAAAAAGACGAGGTATTGGGACGACAAAAGTCGTCCCCGGAGATAGGAAAAATCGTCCCTATAGTTTTTGGGGACGACTTAGTTCCCTATACTCTTGTCCTCTATTCTTTTGGGTACGACAAAAAATTAGGTCGTCCCCATTACTAGGGACAACAGTCGTCCCCCAAACACAAAAATTGTCTTCTCACTTCTTTTTCACGAAAGACAATTTATCGTCCCTGTAGCTATGACTTTGGTGGCAAGATGTCTTCCCCTAATCACTACTTTTAGGGACGAAATGTTGTCACCTATAATCCATTCCATGATATTATTGCGGTTGTTTAAAGATAATGTATTGTCCCTTGTACTTTTTATAGGGACAACGTGTCATCCCCATATGCATCAAATTGGAGTCAATAGATTGTCTCCAAAAGCTTTATCTAAGGACAACAAATGGTCCCTTTATACATAAGTTACGGATGAACAATTTGCCATTTACTTGTAGCTTGAGAGACGAGAAATTGTGCTCTATCACATTTTTCCAAATAAGAATAATTTGCTAATTTTGTTGTGACATCTTAATTCTTAGATCCGCTTAATATTAGTCTCTGAAGATTGTTTCTTGAGAAAAGATTTTGCATACAAAAATGCAAGATTAAGCAACTGTACAACCAAACAAAAACTTAGTGTTTCCTCGGGAAAATCAAATGCCACCGCCGGTGCCGAATTCGTTTCCGACGATGTTGATTTGATGTTTCGCGGTGGAAACTCCTGCGATGCCGTTTGATCGAATGCACCGCTGATTGTTGAAATCGAGACGACCGTCAAATATCCGCCGCCGAATGTCGGCGCCGTTGATTTGATCGATGCACCTCTAAATGGTGAAATCAATGTGACCGTCAAATATCCACCACCGGTGTCGGCGATGTTGATTTGATCGATGCACCTCTGACTTCTAACCAAGAACGACCGTTACTACGGTTCGCACCTCTCCAAACTACGTTCGAACGAGGGTGTTTGAGTTTTGAGGAATCTACGTTACCGCTACTCCTATGGAGATTCCTGTGGAGAGCTCCGCGACTACGACTAAGGCTACAACTATGGAGATCCTTCCTGGAAGGAGAGCTCCGCGAAGGAGTTACAGGGAAAAGGTAAAGTTTTGACAGAGTTGTTCTGTGTCGATTTTTGGTTCTCTTTTCTCTCTCCTTGCTCCACTGCTTTTATTCGAAAAACTGCTTCGTAGTCTTCACGCAACTCCGTGTCAACTGCTTTGTCGTCCGGAGAACTCCCACATGTCTCAACCGCTTCGTTCCTCAAACTGCTTCGCGTGAACTTTACGTGAGTTGTTTTCATGATCCTGCGATGTCGTTTCCTTTCCCAAACAGCTCCGTTTGCCTTTCCTTTTGCGACATTGTTTTTTTTATCAAACACTGTCGTTTGCTAGTACAGCGGTACCGTTGGGCTTGCTCGCGGTACCGTTTTTAATTAAACCGCTAACATAACCAAAAAATATCAATTCATGGAACCGCCGCGAGTCTGCACTCGCATTGGCCTGGGCGAATTTTGGTCACTTACCCAATATGGTTATTTATTTATTTAATCGGTACCGCTTATCAAGGCTCTCGCGGCATCATTTTTAAATCCGCGGTACCGTTTTTATTTTTCGCGATGCCGCTTGTCTTTACGCGGTGTCGTTCCACTCTCCTTCTCCGATAAAGAATAAAAACACACTCCTTTTCCAACAGCAACACTAACCGTGCGGCCCATATCAAGTGTCGCGGTATCGCTGAGCTTCCTTGCGGTACCGTTTTTCTGTTTCGCGGTACCGTTTTGACTCTCCGCGATACCGCTTATCTCCATGCGGAACCGATTTTCCCCTTCCAACAAGGAAAAAATAATAATATGTTATAAACAGAAAAACTCCTTCCCGACACTTACACTAAAACGCGCGGCCCCTTTTATTTTCAGTAAACGGTGTCGTTTCCAGTGTCGCGGTACCGCTGAGCTTCCTTGCGGTACCGTTTTAACTCATCCGCGATGTCGTTTGTCGCGGTGCCGTTTTTAGCCAAACGAAACTTTTTCCCAATCTCGCGATGCCGTTGAGCTTTGAGGCCCGCGGCACCCTTTTACCATCCGCAATGCCGTTTATCATTAATCGGCGCCGTTTTTTATCACGCGGTATCGAATTAAATGCCGAGACTAATTAATGCGGCATCTAATTGAATCAAAAATAATTTTAGGTGTAAACACTTAGGTCGAACAAATGCGATACCAAATTGATCCGGTGCAGAATTGATTCATTACAATAATAAAAACGTACAATGGAATTGTTGTTCTCACACGATGAAAAACATTAATAGTTTGTACCTTTTATTTACAAATAGAACAAGAAATCGGAAAAACCACCACCACAAACGTGTTGTTGCTGCATTGCTTCGTCATTCATCAGTGTTCTGCAGCCGACGCCTTCTCCGTCCTCGTCGCCAAGCCTTAACACTGTCACAACACCTAGCCACTGCAGGTACCACTCCAATGCTATATGGAGTCATCAGTGTTTGCAACGTCGCCATTGAATTCATTGCAACGTCGCCATTGAATTCATTGCAACTGTTGAGTGAAGAAGAAAACAAAAGAGTAAAGTCAAAAGAAGGATAAATCTAAAACTCTAAAACTACTAATGAATTAAAGACCCACAACCATTAAAAAAGAACTAATCTGAACCCTACAATCACTGGCCAGTGGCCACTACGAAAGATTAGAAGGTATGTAGCTCCGCCGGAAGAGGGAGAGAGTGTCGGCGACAAACAAAAAGGTGAGAATCATAGGAGGAGGAGGAAGAAGAGCATTCGGCCAAGAGAAGGTGAGGGTTGTGTTGGGCTCATAGTTGAGCAGTGTTGGGCTTAAGGCCCATAGGGAGATAGCCAGGCAGGGCCCGAAGTCCGGACCGAACCACAGCGGGAGGCCCAAAAGAGTGGACATGGGGAAAGGAGAGCGGCATGCGGTCACCTATGACGGGACAGGGAGTAGGCCGCCCGACACAAAGTACCGTTGGTGTCCGAAAGAGGAGATCTTCCTAGGATACTTACCTCGAATGCTGCAGGACTAAGCATTAAATTCCCGCCGCGGGCGGTCTAGATAAAGCAAGGCGCATCTAGGCCGCCTGACATGGCATTCAATGCCTCATACTCAAGCTAGCCGACTATAAATACACTGGTATCTGCATTAATGGTAACTCAACTACTCTCTCTCTCTCTCTCTAAACATAAACAAAAACCCATATTCTATCTCTAACTTTAGCATCAGAGGGTGTCCGGGCTGACCGCCCACAGACCCTTGTTTTGCAGGAGTTTGGAGTACACCCACCATTTGGAACAGACGCCTTGCTCATTCTTCACAAACCGCCTGGAACATTCCAGGCTCAAACAATTTGGCGCCCATCGTGGGGCGAGCATAGAACTGAAGAAAGGATGGATGGGAGCTCCAAAACCCCTGTCAAAGGCATAGTAGAAAGGAGCAGCCACCGCGGCCAGGAGGCGCAGATGAGCGACATCCGTGGGATGGAAATGCCAACAGTGGAGGAAAAAATGGAAATGAAAGACCGCGTCAAAAGTCAAGGACAACAAATATCAAGCATGCAAGAGAGTTGAGCCAAATCTTGGCCATGCTCAAAGCAAAGGGAAGTGAAGGGCCGGAGAGCTCAGGAAAGCGAGTGACCAGAGGAAAGGGAAGAGAAGAAAACCCCGACAGCCCTGCTCAGACAGGGCGGGGAGTCTGACAAAGAAGGAGCAGAAGATCTCGGCTTAGGATTCTTGGAGGAGCATCTTAAGCCCTCGTATGGAAGGGTAAAGGGTCACAACATCCTCCAGAACTCGCTGGCTAAAAGCTTGTTTAAAACTCAGGTTCCCCCAAACTTCTCATCACTCGGGCTGCCAATGTTTAGTGGAAGTTTCGATCCCGCCAACCATTTGAGCGCTTTCATGCTGACCATGCAGCTCATTAATGCCACAGACGCCGATCTGTGCAAGGCGTTCCCGATCACGTTTAGCGGTCATTGCCGAACTTGGTACACCTCCCTGCCCGAGGGGATAATTGAAAACTTCGAGCAGTTTGCCACCCTCTTCTCTTCAAAGTTTGCGTCCCAGCGAAGAAGGAAAATGACCGTTTCAGCGCTCATTAATTGCAAGCAAGGAGGAGAGGAGTCGCTGACGGATTTCTACGATAGGTGGAACTCGATAGCCTGCGAGGTACAGGGAATCTCGCCAAGCGTGGCAGCCGAGAATCTGCGCATGTCGACGCATGGTTGTGAACTTCGAAGGGTTGACCAAATAAAATAATACTACTAATCCTACCGATATATGAAGCCCAAAGGAGCACGATAGCCATGACCGCCCTTGTCTCTATACCTCAAGCGGCCGATAAACCTGCTTCCGTTATCATGGCAGAGTGTGTCTATTGTCGGAACGCCCTGGCAGAGGCCAGTACTCATCATCATCGCACGCACATTCATCTTTATAGGAGTCATTCCAGCTCTATTCCACACGATAAACTTGTCCTGGCTTTAACACCGTCGCCGCGCGCCCATGGTAGACATGATAATTAGCCTGTTTGGTTCGCTCTGTCGAATCATGATCCAACACATGTTGGTCCATTGAATAGAACCATTGATGGTTCAATTTTCTCTCACCCTGTTGGACTGGTCGGGTCAAATTTGGTTGGACCCAGCTAGTATAGTGGTCGAACTCAGAACCTGATGGCCGCTTGAATGTAAAACTGTTTGGTTAGGGAAGACCTTGCTACCTCTCCAACCCATTACCTACGCCCTGGTGTCTGCTACTCTTTAAATGGCCCAATTTATTTGGCCCATTGGAATAAGCAGCTGGAACATGGTGGCCCACTAGGGACGAATGTTGTTATTCTTCACGGGAGGTAAGGAGGTCAATGGAAGGAAGGGAGATGCCACCGCCCACCATTTTCACCCCAACTTCCGACGACGGCCGATCCTCCAGGTGGATGGAAGGTAAGTTTGGGACCACCACGCACGTGTTGGGTTTTCTTTCCTTATCCTCAGACCGCACGACGGGAGCCACCGACAATCGTTGCTCCAATTGCTCGACTCGCAACTCCAACTGGTCAAGGCAACGACCTGTCGCCACCTCTGCCTCCTGACGACGTCCGTTGTCGACACGGAACTCCGCCAGCAGCGACCGAATTTCATAACTGATGGCAGTCTGGATCTTAGAAATCATGGCGGATTTGAGCTCGTCCACCACCGCGATTTTGATTTCAGAGAGAAGGGTTGCCATGTTGATGGTAAAATTGGTGGACATGGTGATGACGTTGGGTTGTAGCGGAAGGGTGAGCAGGAGGCTCTGATATCAAATGATAGAAACCTATTTCTAGGGTTCTATTGATCAGATTGTTGATTGTGAAAATTGCTAGGAATTTAGGGATTTAGAAGAGAATTAGGGGGAAAAGAGTAGAATGGTCGGCGGCCGAGGCAAGGGAAGAAGATGAGGTTGAGAGAAATAGAATAGGGTTTAGGGAGATGTACTTTTCTTAATTCTTTCTTCATTTTCCAATAGACGAATAATGACGTACATATATAGGAAAAGAACGAGAAACCCTAACAAATAACCTAATACGACTAAAAGACTAATTACCCTAATATAATAACTAGATTAGGGCCCGGCCTCTTGGCTGGGAGAGTTTGATTTTCATGTGTATGTGTAGTAAACATTGAGGATTGAAGTAACAATTTAATTTGGTAAGTACTCCATGAATAATATAGGAAAGTATTTAATGTATTTGACTAATGAAGTTTAAAAAATGACAAACAACGCCCAACTACACTAACGTAAAATCATATTTCAAACAAAGTCATATATATATAATTATGTCTAAGAAGAACAATGATAAGAGTTGTTTTACATCACACATTCATAATCAATCTTCAATATACGATAACTTCTTTTGCCTTTTCCATTGACTTTCGTGTATTCAATGGTATAATGAAACAAACCATATGTTTAGAGTGTACTTAAAAAGAAACAAACTAACTCACACAGTCATGGTTCTATTGACTTTAGTGTATTCAATGATATAATGAAACAAAGCATGCAGATCTCCAGCTGCAAGTTCAACTAATAGAGCAACACATAAAAAGCTAAATCAAAGCGAAAAGAAGGCAAAAACTAAAAGCAGCATACCTAACATTTTGGGAGAAATCCACAACAATAAAAGTCATTGTATGAACACTTGATAATGATTTGAACACTTGTGATATATGAGTAGTGAAAGTTAATAAAAGTCATTGTAGCTCTTACTCTAGTTAGAAAGATTTTTATTTAATGGTAAGTAAACAATAATATGTAGTGCTTAAGAGAGAAGATGAGACCTTACATTGTTTATAATATGCATCTTAGTTTCATAATTTTACATCATTAAAAATTTATGTGCTGAATAGAAACCCATCCAAGTTTGGAGCCATTGTAAAATGTAAGTTATGAGGCAAAGGAAAAGTCTCAAGCAAGGTTGTCAACGCGCGGGTTGACCCGGACCCGGTGAATCTAGTGAGTCAAGGGTTAATGGGTCACCCGATTTAGCCCGAAAATATGGAAATAGTCATTATATTATACTTATCCTGATAAATTATATCAAATCTCATCTAACATATGAGTTATAACATATAATATTACACTAAAATAACATGTCGTACTTAGATCCAACATATAGTGAAAATTCACACACAATTATATAACAACAATATTCAAATGTTCAACTTAGGATTCCAAAGATTGAGTTAGGCGAAAAGAAAATAGGAAAATAGGCGCATTTCGCAAACCAAAGAAAAAAATGACACAATTTGACCTCTAACCAGATACCTTGTAGCGGTCGACTCGGCGGATGCGTGCAGCCCGTTTTTCTCACGGGGTCAGGATCAAAGTGAGTCGACCTGCGGGTTGACAACCTACTCTCAAGCATCCACATGCTTGCAAAATAAATCTATATTATCAAACATAAAATCATATCTTGCATCAGAAAAAAGAACAAAAAAGTAGTAATTCGATAATCAATATAGGAATCAATATGGACACAATATCTAACCAAGAGAAGAGGAAGCGAAAAAACACAAATTGTTGTGTATAGATTCCGCTCACGATATTTCAAAGTGAAAAATATCATAAAAATTATTAACCAATAAAGGGGAACTGTTAAGGGGAAAATGCATCAATTTGAACCTAAAATGAGATAAATTGATATCCTACACCATCGTATATAATGATACATTTTATCCCAGATTATCATAAACAAATCTATCTAAATGAAAAAGTATACTAAATTGAATCCAATGTAAAAGTAACGATGAAGATAGATATTATATCCACCTAAGGAATACTAACGTAAACCATGTTCATTAGAGACCTCTCTTGATAGAACCACTCTATTATAAAACCCATTTCGTCAAACAATTGCATCATATAGAGTTTTAACTTAAATTTGAAGTGCTTATAATTAGCTATTTCAGCTCATGAATGAATTAATTATATCATTTGGTAAAAGAAAATAATTTATAAACTTGAGAAGTATTTCGTTTGTTGTTAAATCATTTGAACTAAAGTATGAAATTGCTTCAGAACCGTTATTTTATTCATTATTATTAAAATTGCTATTTTTATTATAATGTCTAAGCATGTCTAGGCGAGCTAAGAGATAAACAAATGCCCAATGACCGTCATACGCCTAACGTGCTGCTGAACCTCAATAATTATAGCAAACTTTGAGTGCATCTTATAAATTTGATCACTTCTATTTGGGTATAATTGATTACATCAATAAAGCGATCAATCGAAGAGTCTTTCTTTAAGATTTTGATAAGATGTCCCATACTGCACAATTAGTATGACTAAATTGTACTAAGATAATCATATATTGAATTTTGAATCGATAGCGCAAAAGAGTGTACTAACTCAAGTAGAGTTTTAGCTACCCAGTACTTCATATTCGCATGTAGATAGCTATTTCGAAGAGTTCGAATATTGATTGAGTTTGTTGAACTTTACCTAACGAAACTATGATATCAAGCGCAATATATTATGCTTTTAGGAGAAATTGGGAGAATATGTTGGTGACATCAAACCTAACACGGATACCATTGAATTTAAGTGATAAGCAACATTTATGTTTAATAGATTAGACATGAAAAATATATTTAGCATTCTCAGAAGTTGGTGTGAAGAAGTGAATAATTAGGATTTGAAAGCTAGAAACAAAGTTGATTTAATAAATAACTGCAAATGATATTGTGAAAAAGAAAATAAATGCTTAGAGCATAGCTAGGCATGAGAGTGTTACATTAAACTCTCTAAGAGAAAGCAAGTAACCATTAATAGTTAGTTGTGGATATTGAAATAGTTAACTATGATGAATACTATATACTGGTTTTATTACTTGGACCTTAGCTTGAATATTGCATCATGCTGATAAAAATTATTTAATTAATTACATTATTGAAATAAGGGGTAGTATGGAAGTTTTTATTTTTTTAGATTGATAAAATAAATAAAATTTTCATAATTTAATACATATGTTTTTATTTGTTTTCATACACAATAGTGAATTATTTGCTTGATTTGACTAAATTATCATTCAAATTGAATGATTAAACAATTTCAAATTTTAGCATAGACTATCGAGATAATTGGTATCGGTGTTTGTCATTTTTATTTATCTTGAAATGTATGGTACCAGTGTCCTTATATCGTCATTGAACACTTGATTCAACACTTCAATTCAATGCGCAATATTCCAACCAATGATATTTGTGTTGAGATTTTAAGATTATTCTTCATTTATAAGTTAGAAAAAATTATAAATTAATTATTAAAATATGAAAATAGAAGTATCAAACTCCACAAGATACTTACAGGAGACTTAGCGGGCTAACTAACTGTGATAGAAAAGTACTTTGTTTTTATAATTTTAATGTTTTGTATTAATAAAGTACAACAAATGTGAGACTAATTGGTTACAATTCTTGTCTTTTGTGGAAGCGACCATGGTTCAAATCCTAGCATTGATATCTTTTTATATGAAATAAAAAAAATGATTGTGTATACGAAAATACCCTTCCTACTTTTACTCTCGTTGCAAGAAATTTGAAATGGAGCAAATCAAACTCTTTAAAATGTATTATAAGTAGTCTAGATAGATAAATATAGAATCCGAACTAAAGTTGTTTTTTTATCATCTGGTATACTCGGTAACCGGCGTTTATTTACAGGAAAAGATCCGATATACCGTTTGGTTTGTGGTGGCTACCGCCAACTAGTAATGCTGGTTACCGCCAATTACTGGTTCGAGGAATGGTTTAGGGTGATTACTTATTTTTTAGTAATCACGGTGGCAACCTCTTTATATACCATTTGATTAATTATTTTCCCTTATTTTTTAATCTTACGGTCAAGATTCTTTTAGGATAATGTTGGAAATTAAAAAGTGACCACACCTGATTATTCTATATAATCTACCCAAATCCTAGTTTTATCCTCCCTCCAACCAAACCCGTCGTAGCCACCTCCACGTACCACTCCCGTCGCACCGCCGACAGCAGCCCCGGCCACCCTCGCCCACCGCAGCGGCCTCCCTCCCCTCTGTGCCGGTACCCCCCCTCTCTCTCTTGTGTCGGGACCTAACTGCTGAATGTGGAGATTGTGTCTGCTTAATTTCCCGCCACTGCTTGCCTCCACAAGCTCGTCCCTGCTAGTTGATTCCTGCAATTGGGAGGGTCACCTTTCGTGTCAAATCATGTTGCAGTCAAATCTTGTTCATTCACTGTTCATTCTAGTAATTTTTTGTTTATTGATTCAATGTGCAGTGGTATTGGTTACTATATACAATGGTATCGATTGTTTATATTGGTAGTTTTCGTGTAATGGTATAGATTTATTTCTGCAATGGTATTGATTGTTTATATTGGTAGTTTTCGTGTAATGGTATAGATTTATTTCTGCAATTGTATTAATTGTTTATGGTATAGATTGTTTATATTGGTAGTTTTCGTGTAATGGTATAGATTTATTTCTGCAATGGTATTGATTGTTTATGGTATAGATTGTTTATATTTGGTAGTTTTCGGGTAATGGTATAGATTTATTTCTACAATTGTAGTTTTCGTGTAATAGTATAGATTTATTTCTGCAATGGTATTGTTGTTTTTCAAAGTGGTAGTGTTTGTCTAATGGATTGGTACTGATTTTGTGTTTTTTTTTTGCAGAAAGATTGAGAAAAATATAAAAAGGAAATCTGGCGGGAGATTACGGAAATGAGAGAAAGAGAGAATTTTAATTAATAGATTTTTGTAACTACCTAAAATGTAATTTATTAAAAAATTAATTAATAT